AACATAACTTTTATCCGGTGATTTGAAGAAACGATATATATATATATATATATATATATATATATATATATATATATTTATATATTCTTTATCGTAATCGCGAGTTATAGGCGCACCGAGCGTCAATGCACCCTAGATAAAATTAAAATCAATTTGCCGTACAAAGCGAGCAATAAGGCCTCGGTCTCGAGTGTCACTCACCTGTAAAATCTCCGAGCGATCGGTAATCCCAAGTTAAACGAGTGACGCCAAGGATCATCTTTACTCTCTTGTTTCAGGAATCGGTCTCGTCTTCGAGGACGCAGACCGCAAGAACGTGAACAGCCTACGCCAACAGCTCGAGGCGGTTTTCGAGCGCGACTGGTCCTCCCCCTACGCCCACCCCCTTAATGGATCATGCTATAACCTGAGAATGGCCAAGGGACTGTCTGGGCGGCCGCAGCTTGTGCCTCCCCTCTACACACACCAAGTCGCCGTCACAGCCGTCTAAACCCCGTCGCGAACGGTTCACCTCCGGGTGAAGGTCGGGATCCTACTGTTTTAATCAAGTATATTCGATGAACAGCGTATTTGCCGACGACTTAAGCGGGTGTCTTCGTTGCACCCAGATATCGTAGCTTACCGAGGATGTTAGCACTTTTGCTCACATGCCCTCGTATCGTCGGTTAGCTTTTGTTCCGCACTTGGCGGATGATAAAATTTTAGTTCGACGTCGTTTTGGCAAACCTTTGGGATTTCCGAAGAAGTAAAGCATCGATCTGCTGTAGCCTAGGCCACGTGCTCCAATGGGAATTGCGTGCCATGCTTGCAACCTGCCCCAAGCTATTTTTTTGTACGTTTTTGTAGATTTCATTAACTACTTGCCCTGTAACGTGAACATGTATTAAAATTTAAAAATATTATATTAACATTTGCTTTTCCATTTATAAATTTACGTTTCAGTGTATCATTATTCTCGACATTACTCCTTCGTAACCTGCATGCATTGTTGCTCAGCAATGCTGACAATTCGCATATCTCAGTATTCAACAGTACTTGTCTTTTACTATACGAGAGCTTGATTTAAGAGGAAAAATGCTTATAATATATTTTTCAAATCTAAAACTTGTATATGCGTGTTTTATCGAGTGGAAAAACTCGAATAAATAATATATAATATATCTTGGAACTTAATTAGCAAATTTTTCATCTTATCGTGCTACATCTTAATTCACCAATTCACCAAAGCGAATGAAATTAACAAATTCACTACCTGAACATAAATTTGAAAAAACTTGCAAGTAGATGATTTTATTCTACTAATTATATGTTCGCGAGGGTGAATTTAACAATAAAATGAGATAAAGATTATACAGAGGATGATATTATATATTCCAATGTAAATATTTGAAATGCAAATTGTAAAACAACAATAATCTATAATATTAAGTTTAAATTTTAATTATCTATATTAATTAAGCATTGCGCTTGTCCTGTATTATCTACAGATTATTAATTGAACAGATTATTAATTGAAGCTGATGTTAATTAAGAAATAATACTATTAATTTATTTCTAAAGTAGATGCTGGAATTGTATATTATAAAAGACAAGACGAAACAGATCTTACTAAATAGGTTTGATATTTTCTTTTTTTATTATTATAGCATATTTTTATATTATGATCGAATAATACAACAATTGCAGTTATTCAAAACAATATACTTTCATTTCGTTACAAATACTTTTGAGTATCAATCGTTTGAATTTTCTGTACTTGAACAATGGTAAATGTACTTAATTTTTTTTTTATAAATTTCACTTATTAAAAGGTTATAAGCATTTAGAAGCCTAAGGGATAAAGTGATTTTCCTAATCATTATTATCTCTATGATATACTATATTTAAATTATAAATAGAATAAAAATTATAAATCAGAATATAGAGAAGAGGGCCATAAAAGTAGTTAGGCGTTAATAAGAATAACATCTCCCAAGAAATTTTGTAACAACGATTACTATTTGGGGCATAAACAATAAAAGAATAAACTTTAGTTTTGTATGAAATTGTTTTTCCACTCCTTTATTTAAGAAATGAAGAAAAATATTAATTTGAAATGAAATGGTGATAACTGAGAATTAAAATGTTTTTATAAATATTTTCAAAAAATTAGAAAATTTCCAATCCAATTGAAAATAAATAATTCCATTTTCAAAAATATTCTTTTAGTAAGTAATATTTGCTTATAAATAAAAGCCGAAATTTAATTTATTAAACGTACAGATTCTCAAATACGTAACAGCTTTAGCAATTTTCGATACATGTTTTGTGAATTTTGCGAAGCACACTTTTCAAAGAAATCGTTCATTATTCCTATTATTGTTTTAATCCAAAACCTTCAATGCAGTTTTGTCATAAAATGTTACTGTTTGTAAATAAATATTTGTATTACAGAGTTCATTGTTAATTTATAATATCGGCATGGCTAGCTGTCAGTTTTTTGCATTTAGAAATCGATTATTATGCCAGGAGAAAACATCATATATCTGCAATATTATATTATATCTAGACAGTGGGTATTGCATTATTTGTTGTTAATTTTCAGATTTATTGATTTGCACAATTTGCCTATAACCCTATAAAGTTGAAATCTATTTGATTTTTGAGCTTTATATAGAGATAATTGAATCAACAAGAATCATTCCAAATAAGTGAAGCCATAAAATTGAACCGCGTACGTTTAAATATAATTTTATAATTCTAGATTTTACGGTCTATTTTATTTGAATGGTATTCAATAGAATTTTTTATGGATTTAAAATTTCTTGCTTTTTCAACTTTCCTGGCTTCTTTCATTTTCATAATATTTAATTACAAAAATTCATTTTTCAAACAACGTAGATTCTTTTTGAAACCTAAGCCCTACAATACCTGATCTTTATGAAATATCTTAATTTAATGGAACTATTTATTTTACCTAAATTTATGTAGAATATATTCCTTATTTCAAATTCATCGTAAAAATCCTTTTGATTAACTATTTAAGATAATTTAATAATATATTCTTATTATCATTAGTCATAAAATAAAAGATATTATTTAATCTCTTTTTGTTAATATCAAAACAATTATTTAACCTCGACAAATTAACGATTAAAATACATTTTTTTTTTACCAATATTTAATGGTCCTAAATTTTTTGGATTAAATTTTCTACTTAAATTTTGTATTCAATTTTACTTAATTTTCATTGAATCTATCAATTTACGTTCACATTAATAGTTTCTCTATATAAAAATAAATACTTTCATAGAAATTTTAAGTATCTTACGCACAAAAGTTGCATTTAATAATAACTAATGTGTTTCACAAGAACATACGTATTACAAACCAAAATTATTTCACTAAACCGACAGTTATGTAAGTGTTTTCTTGTTCGTTAAAACAAGTCTCTCCACTAATGTAAAATGCTATTTGTTTTATTAAGACTTATTGGTAAATGACGAGAACGCTTAATGGATTTAGATAAACAATATATGTCGAGATCCAAATGAGGATGCCTCGATAAAGCGACATTTGAATCGTAATTGTGTATATGCTCGTAAATAAGTATTTTAGTAATCACGGGTTGTGTGGTTCAAAAGACGTGAATAATAAGCAACCGTTGAACAAAAACGCAAGGAAAAATGATCGCCGACAACTTGGAAGAATGGCCGAGTAAATGAACCTCTAGGCATTAGCGTTTCGAGTATCTCCCATTTCATTACTGAAATATTCACACCTCGGCCAACGTTAATTGAACGTCGCGCAGCGCATCGTCTCGCGATAATTTTTTTGAAAAAATGACGCGAATCATGCGCACAGACTTTTTATTATATACTTCTAGGACTTTCTTCATATGTGGTTGATGATGATGATGATGATGATGATGAAAAGCGGCGAGCAAGCGCTCACGTGCCTTCTCTCAAGTGACCTTTCCTACATTTATCTCTACGCTTGTCCGGCTGAATAATTTTGAAAGTCTTAATTTTCGTAGTGAAATGCTCCTTACCGAGTGCAATTATAATGGACGCTTTTACTTTTTGAAAGCCTATTAGATATGTATTTTTCAATTCGAGGGCCTCTTAATTCGAATACTTATTGTTGTAAGTAAGATTATGTAATAGGGATGCCGAGTAATTCGGTTTCGGAGATTCATCATTGAGAAAAATTGATTATTTACATTAATAAAATATTTAGTGAGATGAAATCTCGAATGAAATAAAATTTTACGACATTAGCGTAGGTTGTATAAAAAAAAAAAAAAAAAAAAAAAAATGTTAAAATTTCAAAATAATGATAAACTTATCTTATACTTTTAAATCATATTTCCTCCATAGGTTAATGAATTATTGAATCGAATGCAAATAATCGTTATTTTTATGAAGTTTTTATTATAATTAACATAAATTTTGTCTTATAAGTAAAAGAAAAGTTCCTTTTCTATGTAATGAATAATTTAAAATACGAAACTGGTATAAGTTAAAGTTTTACGGCAATAACAATTAGCAATAATATTACACATACAGGACATGTTTTTATTTTAAGTTTATGAAGTTTTGCTCAATTTCGTAATTAAATGTTTCGGTTGAAAGCTTTAATTCTTAAATAATTATTGTAAAATTTGAAAAATGTCTTGTAAAGTAATAAAATTGAATAATATCCGTAAATTTATTAGCCATTGTTAAATTTATAAGTAGAATGAGTAAATAAAGAAAAAAAAGAACTATAGACACTACTTTTAAGTAAAAAGTAAGAAATTTGTGTTTTATGCTTTTGTAAGAATTATAAGGGACATATTTTAGTACGATAATATTACTTTATTAAAATAAAAATTTAAACAAAATATAAGATTGTATTCAAGGTTTTTGTTCCATAATAATTTTTTTCTGTTTTAATAATTAAAATCGTGTAATTTTCAAACATACTAAAATTAAAATAATTTTTCAGCATTTTTTTTCTCAAAATACTTAACATTAGTTACTAAATTAACAAATAAACGAATTTGAGATAAAAAAAAAAATATCTGCGCATCTAATAATTAATTGTAATTGGTTATTTTATTATATTATTCTAATTTTCCTATTGTATAATTGGAAATGTAGTTAAGAAAATGTGAAATCTACCGATGTTAAAACAGTCCACTTAATAATTACCTTTTTAACATTTTCTCGTAGATGTCTATAAACTAATTATAAAGTTAATAACGTTTAAAAAAAAGCATGTACAATCTTTTACGAATTAAATGTTATTTTGAACATGTAAAATATTATTTCATCTGCTTAGTTAATTTTTTCTAATATAATTGGAATTGTCAATTTTCAATGTATTTACGATTATTGTAGAAACAAAAAACAGGTAGGTATTACAATATTTATAATATAATATACAAATTAATTGGAATAAAATATTTTTTACTCATAAAAGAACCATATAGAACAATATAGTAACGATTGCTATAATTAAATGTAAATTATAAAAATTGTAGTAACGAAAAAAGTTTATATAGTTTGTTAACATTTTATATTATGTTCCTTAAACATATAAGTACACGAATTATATTTCGTTCGCTGTATGAATTTATTATAATAATAAGTGTGTTGTTTCTGAAAAATTATCTGCTCATTACTTTTAAGTAT